TTCTCACTGCCTTAGGTAGTTGCACCCACCCTAGTTTGCTTTCCTAGTGGCTCAGCAGGGCTAGAGACCTCAGCCTCTCTGAGTGGTGGGAAGCACTTGCTCTGTGGCTGCTTGTCCTGGGCCTGGAAGATCCCGCCAGCCTGAGGGAGGCAGCCCATCCCGTCACAAGGAGAGGGACTTACAGAGTAATTATTCTACTCTTTTTACATGCAGAAATGTTTATTTAAATATTTTCAATTGGATTTTCTTTCACAGATACTGATTATTCTTTCCAATTCTTAAATAAATAAAACTGTACTTGATTTCACTACAGATGACAGTGTGATTGTGTGGGATGTGAAAGCAGGAGGTGATCACACACCTCTGATGACCTTGTTAAGGGAGGTCCGGAGCTGCCCGCATCAGGTCAGGTCAGGCCAGCTGTGCCTCCTTGGCCTGCCCCGAGGTCCTGCCTCTGCCCAGTTCCTAAGGATGGGTTCCTCTTGCCTTAGGCTGTCACGCAGGTTTGTGCTACTTTGGGATGTGGACTTCAGTATTTCTGTATGGATGTGCAGGCCTCCAGTTGAGACCACGGAATCGACTTGGATGTTTGCCTAAAATGTGACTATCTGGGCATCAAACTTAAATGTTGGGTCTCACAGATGGTTTTGTTAAGCACTCGTTAAGAAGGGTGCTTAATGGAAGCTGGCTGGGAGAGACTGCTGGGAGACAGCCTGCTGCACTGGGCTTTCCTTGCCACGAGGGGCACAAAGGACAGTGAAGGTGGCTGGGGAAAGCCCCAGGTGTAAAGTGGAGATCTGCACAGGGCTGGCCAGAGGCCGTCCCGGCTTCACAACCTCTGCCCTTGCCATGTTGTGAGTCACTGCTCAGATTACTGGGTGGAACTTTCTGGTTGTACCAGGTCTACAGTGGGCTGTGTGGCAGGAGAAACTGGATTCCTTGGCAGCAGAGTGGGTGCTGTGCCGTGGTAGAGTCTTGTTATCTAAAACACGGGGCAGCAGGACCTGATGGCATCAGAGTACAGGGCTCAGCCCCAGCACCATGAGCAGTGCTGAGCAAGGYGCGTCGCAGTCAGCGTGTTTGCTGGTTGGACGTGTCCCCCCAGGAGTGGGAAGTCATCCCCATGTGAGCTTGTGCCCTGGGAACACGGAGGAATGCAGCAGCCTGGCTTTACTTTTTAATCAAGTGTCACCTTTGAAAGAAGTGACCGGAATGAGAACAACCTTTTCTTAAGTATCCCAGTCTCGATGTGTTCGTTGTGAGTCCAGCTGGTTGCATGGGGCTAAGTTGGCTGCTCTCTGCATGTGGGGAGGTCATCCCCATTTTTCTGCTTGGATCTGAGATGGTCTCGGTTCTTCTGTGGAGGATCTTCTGAGACGCCACTCAGAGCCCTGCTGTTTCCTTTGGACTCTGAGGTCTTCTCTCCCTTCTCCACGGCACTTCCTGGATCATTCCTAAAGGAACAATTTAACATAAGCTCATCTATTCTGCTCCCCTTACTTCACTGGTGTCCAGTCTGTCCAAAGATTTCACAATGGAAAACTTTTTTGGAAGTCCCCAGTAGGTGACTGCGTCTTCACACCCAGAAGTGCCTGTGACTTATCAAGGATTCTCAGAGTGAAAGCCATTCCCCAGGACAAGGTGGTTAGCTGCCCAAACATGAGCATATTCGGGTGGTTTCAGCAGCTTCGGGCAGTGAACTCTGGATCCAAGGTCCCCTGAAGCCTTGCAGGGGAGGGTGGGACTCCTCTCTGCATTGTCCCCAAGCACACTAGAATTCTAGACACTTCAGCTAATTGCTAGACTTCCCCTGTCCTGTGACTAAAACCAGCCTGTGACCTCTTTCTGCACTCTGTCTCTGCCTCGCAAGCATTTAGGCAAACACTGACTCCGAGGAGAGTGACACCACCCAATCCTCCTCAGCCATTCCTCAGTCAAGGGAATTTGAGTTGCTTGTAAAGCTTGCAGCCCTTGGTGGTGTAAGGGAATGCAGGCAGCCCCCTAGGCCATTTATCATTGTGTTACGTCCTATCAAAGTCCCATGTATCATCTAGGAAGTCACTGGTTTAAGCACCCATCCAAGTTAAAAGCCTCCCTGACTTATTTTACAAACCGTAATCTGGCTGAGGCCACAGAGCTGATGGGTGGCGAGCTGGGCCCACAGGGCGATGAAGCCCATCCACTTTCCTTGCATTTGCCTCTGACATCAAATTCCTTGCCACTGTTGGGCTGGAAAGATTTGCATTACCTGGCCAGGGTCTCGATACTCCTGCTGCYGTCATACGTGCTTTGCAGAGTCTCTGACTGTTCATCCACAGGCAGCTGAAACCTGGGTGAGAGACACGGGCACCAAGACTGGGAGGCGACAGAGGCAGCCCACTGCGTGGCTCCAGGGCCCACCTGAGCTTCCCTCTTGTAGCCCTGGAACAGTTACCAAGGCCCAGTGGTTTTCCAGGGCCCAGTAAGTCACAGGTGACAGTAGAAGACAGGGGAAGTCAGGCCTGGCTCTTGTGAAGCTACTTGCTGTTTAGGGAGGCACCTCAGGGTGGAACAGAAGCAGGGTGTGGCCAGGCAGTGTAGTGACAATGAGCAATTCCTGCTCTAATCATGTGGTTTGGGAGGCCTCTGCTGACGTTCCATCTGAGACCTGAGTGAGGAGAACCTCAGGACAACCTAAGTAAGAACCTTTCATCAGGGGCCAAGAAGCGAGAGCTAGTCTAGCTTTGGGGGAACTGAAAGGCCATTGTGACCACAGTGTTGTGAGGGGCCAACATGGTCAGAGGTGGACAGGAAAGGGCCCCTGGGAGAGCTATCAGGCCTTGTGGTGGTAGGAATAATAGACTCAAAAGATCATTGGCTGGGCACAATGGTGTACACCTATAATCCCAGCTACTCGGGAGGCTGAGACAGGAGGATTGCAAGTTTGAGACCAGCCTCAACAATTTAACAAGACCCTATCATAAAATTTAAAATTTTTTTTTTTTAAATGCAGTGGYGCATTCCTGTAATCCCAGTGGCTTAGGAGGCTGAGGCAAGTGGGGAGAATCTCGAGTTCAAAGCCCACCTCAGCAACAGCAAGGTGCTAAGCAACTCAGACCCCGTCTATAAATACAAAATAGGGCTGGGGGTGTGGCACAGTGGTAAAGTGTTCCTGGATTTAATTCTGAGTACCCCACCACCACCAAAAAACAAACAAAAACCCAAAAGATCACTGGCTGAACGGCATGCTGAAGGGATGCCTGGCTGTGGGGCTTGGTATTTGGTCAGAAGAGACCAAAGTGGGAAGACTGCACTGGAGAGTTTAGTCCACAAAACTTGGAGACTGGTTGGAAGGAGTCAGGAAATCTCCTGGCTGCCTTGTTGGAGTTCCTGCCATCCCTTGAGTGTGTGCGATACTGTTGACGGAGATAAGGAGACAGGCATGGTGTGTGCGGGGAGGACACCAAGAGTCCTGCTGGCCACTCTTCTGAGCTGAGGTGCCTCTTAGACATCCAGGCCGAGACTCCAGGGAGGAGGCAGTTGGAGGTGAGTGTGGAGTAGGAGAGCACGGTGCTGGGGAGGGATTGTGGGGGTGGGATGTCATCTGCCTGGCGATGGGGCTTTACAGCCAGGGATGCTGGGCTGGCGGTGTAGCTCAGCACTACAGCATGTGCTCAGCTTACTCGAGAGCCTGGGTTCAATCAGGAGAGGACACCAACATGGCAGAAGCCGGCGATCAGACCCAGGACCAGCTGTGCACTGACGGCCCACCACTAGAACCCTCAGGAGGCAGGGAACTGGTAGCCTCAGGACCTCTCGACAGCAAGGGTGGGACCCAGATAGGATGTGCTGTTGACAGTTGAGCTCTTTCTCACTGTGCAGATGTCTGAAAGTTAATTCTTAGAGGGCACAAGCCACAGCTGAGAAGTAAACAGAAAGCCAGGACTAAATGGAATGTATACAAAACTCCACAGAGAGGCCCTCCAGGAAGGCGACTGGAAAAGAACCTGACATTGGGCGTTCCAAAAACACAAGGACACACCCCACGTCCCCTGAGCCACCCTGCAGACCACTTCCAGTGAAGCACCAGCCACAGTGTGCCCAGAGCTTCTATCTGTCGCTGTGCCTCCAGCCCCACTCACCCCTGAACCGAGCGGACAATCAAGGATCACCTGACATCCGACATCCCAGGAGAGCCTTGACCATGGGAGTCAGGGACGAAACAAACAAAAAGTAACATGGAGAAGACATTAGGGATAAAACTTCCAAAAGAAAAAAAAACACAACTACCTATCGGTTTCAGAGGACTAAGAGAGTGTCTCCAGAAAAAAAAAAAAAAAGAATACAATGGAGAAAGAATTAGAGTAGGAAAAATCCTCTTAGAATTAAAACCAAGCTAGAAACAATCAGCTTGACAGAAGGGAAATCCCACTGAAAGTATAAGACAGAGAATGTAAAAAGAAGGGCTGACATCCAACAACAGGAATTCCAAAAAGAGAAAARGGGGAGAAATCAACTAATTAAAAATGAAATATGGCAGGGTACAGTGGTGCACACCTCTAATCTCAATGACTCGGGAGGCTGAGGTGGGAGGATCTCAAGTTTGAGGCCAGCCTCAGCTATTTAGTGATAACCTATCTCAAAAAATGAAAAGGCTGGGCATGTAGCTCAGTGATAGAGTGCCCCTGGATTCAATCCCCAGTACCACAAGGAAGGAAGGAAGGAAGAAAAAAGTGAAAACAGGACATGAATTTCAAGAATGAGTACCCAAGGACACCAAGTACACACACCAAATATACCAACATGTAAACCAATGGATGGAAATAGACTCTTGGCAATGTGAAATTTAGGCCACAGGAACGAGAGAAGATTCTACAAGCTTCCACAGAGAATAAGTAGGTCACCCTACAAGGATTAGGAATCAATGCCTTCAGACTTTTCAAAAACATCCTTTGAAACTAAAAGATAATCAAGCAATGCTTTCAAAGGAAAGTCCTTCCCAGTCTAGAATTTCCAATCTAGAATTCAAGACTCASTGAAACCATCAGTCAAGTGTGAGGTGGAAAAGAGACATCTTAGGGCTGGGGATGTGGCTCAAGCGGTAGCGCACTCGTCTGGCATGCATGCGGCCCGGGTTCAATCCTCAGCACCACATACCAACAAAGATGTTGTGTCCGCCGAGAACTACTAGAAAATGAATATTAAAAATTCTCTCTCTCTCTCTCTCTCCCCCCCCTCACTCTCTCTTTGAAAAAAAAAAAAAAAGAAAAGAGACATTTTAAGACCTGTGCTGTCCAAAATGTGCTTCCTGAACCTCCATTCTCCAGAAGCTGCTGGGGGAAGGGCTCCACCAAACATGACCAAGGAAATGGGCACATGAGACAAGGGCAGGGCAGACRGGATCCAGGAGGGTGGTGCAGAGAGTCCAGGCCCCAGCTGTGCACCTGTGCACCTGGGGCTGYGTGAAGGAGAGACGGGCACATGGAAGATCTCTGTGCCACTCCTCAATCCCAGTCCTGGGGATTAAATCCAGGGAACTCTATCACTGAGCTGCGTCCCTGGCCCTTTTAGTTTTTACTTTAAGACAGGGTCTTACTAAATTGCCCAGGCTGGTTCAAACTTGCTATCCTACTGCCTCTGCCTCCCAAATCACTGGGATTACAGGCATGTGTTATCGATCCCGGCACAGGATGTTTTTGTTTTTTTTTTTTTTTTGTCAATGGAACTTAATTTTTATTTATTTATATGCAGTGCTGAGAACTAACCCAGTGCCTCACACATGCTAGGCAAGCACTCTACCACTGAGCCACCACCCCAGCCCCCTGGCACACATTTTGATGCCTGCCTACAGTGCTGAGAGGGGCCTGCTCCAGACCTGGCTTGTCTTGACATGTGCTGATGAAGTTCCTGTTCCCTCCTTCATGTCTGCTGCTTGGATATGACACTCTCAAGATGTTCTGTCTGCCTATATTTTTTAAGTAGGGTCTCACTAAGTTGCTGAGGGCCTAATTTTGCTAGGTATAGCCTCAAACATGCAATCCTCCTGCCTCAGCCTCCCAAGTCACTGGGATCACAGGTATGTGCCATTGCACCTGGCTGTTCCTTCTGCTTCTATCTACTACTACTTTTTTTTTTTTTTTAATTTTAGGTGGACACAATATCTTTATTTTATTTTGATGTGGTGCTGAGGATTGAACCCAGTGCCTCATGCACGCTAGGTGAGTGCTCTACCACTGAGCCACAATGCTAGCTAGCCCTTCCACCTACTTCTGAGGGCTGCCGGGAGCCATCCTGTGCCTGCTGAGCAGACCACTTACTATGACCACATTTTTGCAGCTATCTAACACCTGGTTTGTTTGTCCAGAACCCTGATCACCTGCCTGCTGACTTTCCTGAAAGGGGCCCTTCTGATGTGTGTCACCTTATCCACATCCATGCTGAAGTGCCCTGGTAACACCCTCTGGTCTTACCTGGGCTCCAGCCGTTCCTTCACCTTGGCAATGGAGCGGACGTAGGGTGTGATCTGCTTGGTGATGGTGATCAGGCGGGCATTCTCCTGCTTCAGCTGGAGAAGGTCATGGAGCTGGGCTGTGGAGCCCAAGGCCAGAGTGTTGGTYTTGCTGGCATTAGACTCTAAAACTCAAGCCCAGCACCATCTAAAGACCCCAACTGTTTGAATGGTCATCTCTAACGAATGGGTGGGGCATTTGGTGGGACATCCTACTCACCGCCTCCTGACCTTACATGCACATGTGGGCCTATTAGCAGGTGTGAGGCCAAGCCAAGCCCCAAGGGGAGAAGCATGTGTGTAAGTCTGGTTAGTGTCTGACTAGCTCCCCGCTAGCAGGTGGGTCAGCCGCAGCACAGGGCTTCACTAGTGGCCAGCCTCCCGGACCTTCATAAACCTCCTGCTCATTGGCTACTCGCTGGTAGGATTCCTCCCAAATCTGAAAGAGAGAAGTGAGATGCTAGATGTGGCATTGGTGGCATTTCTACTTCAGCCATTCAGAGCCATACAGTTTCCCCAGCAGGGCCCATGTCATTCCTGTGGCCAAGACTCCAGGTTCCAGAACCTGCTACGTGGGAGTCTGGAGGAGCAGCAGGCCAGGCTCTCTTTCACCCGCCYCCCTGCCCCACCTTGGGTAGCCCMTGTTCTTTTGACAGGCAGGGCCGGAGCCCTGTTCCTAGGGAGAGCTACCTCTTGGAAGATGGCTCTCATGCCCTCCGCAGAGCTGTACTCAGAGGYGATCCGTGCGTCCAGCCGCAGGGACCTGTTCAGGATGTCCCCCATGATCTCGGCCTTGATGAGGGAGTGGTGCCTCGTGAGGTCACGGTGCAATTCCTGCACCTGGTCCTTCAGGTTCTGCACCTCCGCCTGCAGCCCCTGCATGCAGAGGCCAGGAGGGCTGGGGTCACTGCAGGAGCCCCTCTGGAGGGGTCACTACAAGCAGGGCCCTGCAGGGCCCCAGCCCCCTCACCCGGTACGAGTCCTCATAGTGGCGGCAGTGCTCTGTGAAGGGAGTGTCCTCGCCCTCAGCCAGGAGCACCTTGGTGCTGATGGAGCGGTGCAGCGTGGGCTTCTGGACTGGGGACCCTGGCGTCTTTCTCACTGGGGAGGGGCATCTGGGCCCCATCAGCACCTTGGGTCCTGCACCCCCTGCCAGCCTGGGGGAAGAGCCAGTGTGGATGCAAGACAGGCAGTGCCGSTCTTCCCTTCCCCTGCCTCCAGGGTGCCAGTGCTCCACTACCCTGTCAACCCCACGCAGGGCACAACCACTCAGCTCTGGAAAGACATTCTGCAAAGCCATACCCAGTGACACTGACATCCATGATTTTTTYCCCCTGGTACCAGGGAATTGGACCAGAGGTGCTTATCACTGAGCCACATCCCCAGCCCTTTTTATGTTTTATTTTGAGACAGTACCTTGCTAAATTTATATTTTATATTTACATTTTAGTTGTAGTTGGACACAATACCTTTATTTTTGTTTACTTATTTTATATGTGGTGTTGAGAATTGAACCCAGGGCCTCTCCCGGGCTAGGCGAGCAGGCCACCCCTGAGCCACACCCCCAGCCCCTGCTGGTAGGTTTTAAAGGTCCTCTCAGATGCGGTGTTAGTGTGGGAGGAGGGCAAGTCCCACTGCATTCCCGGGGGCATGGGGTACCACTGTGCTCACTGCCATGCTGGGCAGAGAAAGTCTGAGCCCACACCAGGTTCTCCCGCTCTCTGGGGCTTTTAGGCCACACACACCAGTTCCGACATTTATCTTCTCTCCTCTGTGATCTCTGACTCTTCCTTGGCTCCAAGCCCCCACCCCCATCCCCATGCAATATCCAACCCAGCCCCAGTGGCTCCAGCCTGGGGGGCGGGGGGGGGGAAGCTGCCTACAGGAGGCAGAGGGGAAGTCCCACCTCGTTCCCATCTATTCTAATAGCCCTCCTGCGTGGAGGGTCCATGGCACCCAGACACCCAGCGGAGAGCCGACCTAACTGAGAGGACTGAGGAGGCAAGGAGGGTGCAAAGCCTTTCACTGACAATCTAGTCCCTGGGCGCTGGTGCTGGAGACCAGGCACCAGCTCCCTAGGTCATGCTCACGTATTGGCGGCAGACGCAGCCCGGCGTGGCCCCAGCAGCAGCAGTGGCTCCAGGCAGCGTGCGAATTCTGCATGGTGGTCGCTGGCGATCTGGGTGGCGGAACTGTCATGAGGTGACCTCCCCTTCCCYGAGGGATACCCACTCCCGCCCAGGCCCAGTAGGACCACGTGCCCACCTTGCTGCTCTGCGCTGGTCTTAGGCAATGTGGCCCTGTGACTATGCTCTGCAGCCTCTCCATCAGCTCCTATGGCGGGAGCCGGGAGGGGGCTCAGGCTGAGCCGGTGTGGCAGGGAGGGGGCCGCCAGCCGGCAGGAAGAGGGGAGGTGGAGGGACTATCTTTAGCATATTGCCTGATGTCCTATGAGACCCCAACCCTATTMTGGGACTGGCTCAGACAACTCTTCCACCAAATCCATAGGAAAGAAGGTAGCAGGGCTCCAGCAGATATTTATTTATTTATTGGGGATGCTGGAGATTGAACTCAGGGTACTCCACCAGGGAGCTACACCTCCAGTCTAGTCGTCTTCTTCTTAGAGGGTTTCATTGAACTGCATAGGATGGCCTGGAATTTACAGTCCTCCTGCCTCAGCCTCCTGAGTTGTTGGGATTACAGGTRTGCACCACGTGTCCAGCATCATTGTCCTATTAAAAGAGACTCGCCTGGCCCCTAAAGGGTTGGTGGATGACAGAGTGGAGGAGGGAGAGGCAAGCCCAGCCTGCAGGTGGCAGGACTGGCTCTGGTGGGGAAGGGGAGACTGGGGAACTGGGAGACTCACATAGCCCAGGTCCAGGAACTCAGCCTTGTTGGCCAAGCTGAGGAAGGAAGAGCAGATGACCAGGTGAACCTGCCAAAGGGGAAGATGCCTGGTGGCTGGCCAAGGGAGGAGGGGCCCTCTATGCCCCAGCGCCTGACCCCGCAGCCCTTCCCTTACCTGTAGAGTGGGCAGCAGAGCAGCCAAGTGGGAGAGCTGCTCCTTGAAGGCCTTGTCTTTCTCATCGTATTGGCTGGGGAAGGGCACACCTGCCTAGTCTCCGACAGGACAGCTGACCACCCCACCTCAAAGGTCCCCAAATCTGCAGTGTCATCACCCCTCCAGCTCTGTAGGTCCTTCCCTGTGTCCTGAGCACCCACTCTCCTTTGCTGGTGGACACCTGGATGTTTTGCTCCCCAGGTAGGGTAAAGCCTGCAAAGGCCCAGGCTTGGAGCTGGGTGTATGGAGGCAGGGTGTGAGGGGACTGCCACCACTCACCTCTGCACAGCCTGCAGCAGCAGTGCTTTCCTCTCTGCCAGTTTGTCCTGGGGGAGACAGCCCACCACTCACCTGGCTGATCCACCCCCTCCCTGCCCTGTGGTCTGGATAGTGAAGACTGGTTATCTCTCCACCCATTGGCTGAGAGCCCGAGTACCCTCACCTTAAATGTCACCTCCTGGGTGCAACCTTCCTAGACCACCCCCCACCATTACCACCAGCCTAGGGCAAACCCTGGTGTCCCTCTGGAACTTTCCAGGCAACTGGGATTAGCTCCTAGAAAAGAAGTTCAAGCCCTGCTGCCCTGCTTCGATGACAACTCTACAAGCGAATCCAGGGCCTCTCCGTGTTGTGGGCAACTGCTTGGGGCTGATGGGGCTATAAGGCGGTGGCAGCCACCGGCCAGTCCTCCTCCATCCCTCACCTGCATGCTGCCAAAGAGGGTGTGGATGGCGGCATCTTCCTCAGCTGCGCTGCGCCGCACCTCCTCCACCATGACCTGCAGCAGCGCAATGGCCTCCCGGGTGGCTGTCTGCAGGGCCTTCACGGCCTGGGGAGAGGGGGCCTCAGCCTCTTAACACCCCCACGTTCGCACGCTCCCCCCTCGCGCGGGCCACTGAGCCCCGCTCACCAGCACGGCCTGCTCCAGCCGCTCGCAGCCCTGCACGTAAGCCGACTCCAGGTCCACGCAGTGGGCTCGACTCTCCCTGCGGGAGGCAGCGAATCACACCTGCTCTGGCCACCCCGGCCCAGGAGGGAAGCCCCCCGCCCGCTACCCACCCCTGCATATCCCGGAAACAGCGGATGCACAGCAGCGACTTCTTGTCGGTGGAGAACATGATGTAGGGCTCCGCGTGCAGCGCTGCGGGGGCGGGGCARAGGCGAGCGCTCTGGGAGGTGCCCGCCTCCCACCCCACCCCTTCTCGGGGTCCCCAGGTCGTGCCTCGCTTACTGCACTTCTGGATCACGTCGCGGCTGCGCTGGCCTAGGGCCACAATGTCGTGGCGCGCGAACATGCGTGCCCGGTGCGTCTCGTCGCGGCAGCGCGCACACAGGGGTTGCTCGCAAGTGTTGCAGAAGTACGTGGTCTCGGCGTCCTGGGGGCCAGCGCTGGTTCAGACGGAGCGCTCTAGCCGACTGCGGACTGTGGCCAGCGAGGGAACCACAGCCGCAGAGAGATACCGCTAGCATCGGTCCCAGCCTGGGGCAGATGCGTGGCTAAATGCAGCCCTTTCTTGTGATTCCCACACAGCAGTCTACCTAATACACCCAGGTCCCAGATGAGGACACTGAGGCTCAGAGGCTAAGTAAGCAGGTAGGTGCAAGAAGGAGCAGGTAGAAGAGGCTTCCAGAGGTAGTTCCATGGCAGGGTGGGTGGGGGAGGGCAGAAACTGCATTGTAAAATATTTTACAAGGAAGATGGGGGGGGAGCTTTGACCTTACAAGCCCCCCTTGACTCCCTCAATAGGGTGAAGTGGTAGAACACACCTTGGCCTTCTGGAGTTACAGTTAGTGGGGGAGGGGAGGGCAGGGACCCCACCCCCAGCCCCCAYCCCCAGCCCAGGGCTGTGTCCAGGGTTTGGGTTGCAGTCCTGGCAGTGGACTCAGGGACGGCTATGACAGAACAAATCCCCACTCCTACCTTGGCATTCAAGGCCATATCCTCCCAGGCTCTGCCTGTCCCCATTCCCTCACCYCCCTCCCATCACCTGCACTTCTGGGTCACACAGATCGCAGCACTTGCCCAGCATGCCCTGGGATTTCACTCCTAGAAGGCTGAGCTTGCTCCCCTTCAGGGCTCTCCAGCCTCCACAGGCCAGACTCTCAGGATCCTTTTCAGTTTGGCTAGAAGCCTGGCCTCCTGCTCTGCCGGTTGGGGTAGGGCAGAAACGTCCCTTGCCAACTATCCCTTCCAAACTGCTTACTGTCCTCAGGGTACCACAGGCCTGTGAACTGGACCACCCTTCTGTACCAGTTCACAACTCCACTGAGTTGGGGACCTGTAAGCTCTCCTCAAACTGAATGACCTCAACCTTTGCCACTATGGGTATTCATTCAGCTCCCTTGTTGTGAACTCAGTCTCCCTATTGTAAATGGACCCTATTCCAGGTCCAAGGTGAGGGGGGGGGTTGGAGCACCTATTGGTGGTCTGTCCTCTGAGAATGTGCTGGGTGTATGTTTCAAGGACCAAGCACCCGGGCACCCACTGCTCCCCCACCCCCCACCCCTGTGGCCCCTGCCTGCTTGCTGCACTCCAGGTCACAGTTGGCACAATGCACAGCCTCCACGCCATCCCTGGAGCTGTCCACGAGGAACTGTAGCAGCCGGTCCACTGGTGGGAGCCAATTGGGACCCTTCACCGGGGTCTGGTGTCTGTGGAGAGGCTGCAGCCAAGACCCAGCACCCCTTCCAGGATGCTCTCCCCCTCCCCCCTCACGTTCCAGGATAGAGCTAAAAACAGCTGCAGCAGGAGGTGGGGTGGGGTGTACTTCGGCCTGAAGTCTGCTGTAAATACAGCAGGTAGCTCTTACCCTAACCCAGCCCCCACCCTTGGGCCATCCTGCAAATACCATGGGGTCCCCACCACCATAAAAAGCCACTTCAGGCCAGGAGGACCCTCTGAAGGCACTGGGCAAATTTAGGGCACAGCTCAGTAACTTGAGCCAACTTGAGGGTTATGTTGACCTAAGACTTGTGGGACCATAAAGATAGTTACTGGAAATGTCCTGACCCCTCCTCCAGCCCTGACCTTGCTTCCTGACTTTCTGTGGAAACTCTGGGCTCAGAAATGATTCTGTCCCTGCCTCAGTTATTCTGATTTCTAAAATGTGGGGAGGGGGAGTCTGCAAGTTCTGGCCCAAAGGCGGCCAGGGCAGTGTGCAACCTCTCCCAGCCACTTCTAGCCTTGCCCTCCTTCACTTGGGTTTCCCCTCCAGGAAGAGCCAACCTTTCCCTTCGCGGATGATTTGGGGCACTCACTGACACAGCGGGCAGGCCAGGCGGCCRTCCACAGCCCGACCACGAAGGCAGCCGGCACAGAAGTCGTGGAAGCATTCCAGCAGGCACGGGCGCTCGTACTGCGCGTGGCACAGAGGGCACACGAGCGGGTGGCCGCTCGCGGTGTCCAGGTCGCCTAGGCCCTCTAGGGGCGTGAAGATAGCTCCCGACATCTGCAAGGACAGCGCAAGTCCGCAGCTGCGGCCCTCACGGTTGCGGGGCCGGTCCCTGGAGGTCCCTCCATCCTCCTACTCGGACCCTACCAGACGTCCAGTGGTTTTGGAACGGGGAGCTGCTAGGGCCCGGGGAGGGTCTTGAGTGCCCAGCGCGGGGAGAACCAACCGGGAGGGCTGGCAAGGAGTCCAGCTACGCGCCGGCAGCCGGCAGCCTCACCCCCTGCTGCCCAGCGCTTGGAGCGCTGCTCGCAGCTGTGGCCCTCCCTAGGAGTCGCTGACCCTGGAAGGACAGGCAGCCCGACTGGGTTTTGCTTCCTCTGCACTCTCCCCTGTCGCCTCTCTTCACTTCTCCCTCTTCCCTCACTCCCACCCCTGGAATTCCACACTCGTTGTCCTTCTGGTGACCTGCTGGCGACGCCCCTTCGGCGCAGCGCACTGAGCGTCGCTCCGGCGCAGTGCTCCGGCCCACCTCCATCAGGGTGGTGCTGCCTCCGGCGCAGCAGGAGCCTAAACCTCGCCGGCGGGTCCGCAGCTCTGACCCGGGGCCACTCCGCCTGGAGGAGAGGGGAGGACGCAAAGGCTGGAAAGGACTGKGACAGACCAGGGTCCGGTCTACTAGACCCGGCGTGAAATGACAGAACTCAGTGCGGCAGGAGTGCGGCGCAGAGCCAGCGAGAGGACACCTTGGCGGGGTCTTCAGGGGTGCAGGGGGCCCCCTGCCTAGGTGCCAGTAGAGTGGGTTCTTGCAGGTCCATTTCCTTGATCGCCAAGTGGGGGCGCCAGAGAGCAGCAAACATTTCTCCACTGGCGTTCAAGTGCTTGGGAGGCGGAGCCAGAGGCTTTGGAATCCCAGCCCCACCTTGGTCAAGTTAGCGACCTTYAAGAGCTGCACAAAAGAGGGGCTGGTCCCGTTAGCTCTGCGTGGTGAGGCACGTCTGTAATCCCAGAGACTGGGAAGGCTGAGGCAGGAGGATCCTAAATTCCAGGCCAGCCTCAGCAATTTAGACCCTCAGTAATTTAGGAAGAACTAGTCTCAAAACAAAAAGGGTTGGGTTTGTAGCTCAGTGGTAAAGCTCCCTTGGATTTAATCCCTAGTACCCCCCCCCCCAAAAAAAAAGGCTGGCCCCCACCGAGCTAACGAATGATTAAGGCCTTATCCCCATTGTCAGCCAGGTTCCCWGAAGAAGGCTGGGTTTATTTGGGTGGGAGGTGGGGAAGGGAACTTCCTGTCTTTTCAGTAGAGCGCCCTCTGCTCTGATGGCATGGCCAATGCTTGTTCACCCCATTACCTCCTTTCCTCATTCTCAGTTATCTTGTGTTATCCCTGAAAGCCGCCCCTGTTTCTGCACCTCTTGCAACCAGCCTGACCACAGAAAGGTGCTCAATAAAAGTTTAATAAATAGTTAGAGGGAAAAAATATGAGCTAATATTCCAGCTGGGTTTTGAAGGATGCGTTTGCCAGCAGATGAAAGTAAGTGCTAGGCTGAAACCACCTGTTCTTTTAAGGTCCTTCCCTAACCCAGGCTGGATTTATGCTTGCAGTCATAACAATAGTAACAATGGCTAATGTTTGCTGGCCCAGGTATTTTCAGTGGTATTAACTGATTTAATCCTGATAACTTTAAAGAGTAGAAAATGTTAGCTCTAGTAGGTGGTGGAGCTGATATACAAACTAGGTATGTGCTTTGTAAATAAATGACACATCAGTTTCCCAGTAGGAAGTGGTGTTGTTTTTCTTTGGCAGGGTGGGGGTGGCGGGGTAGCTGCGTGGGTTTACTGGAGATTGAACCCAGGGGTGCTTAACCACTGAGCTACATCCCTGCTCTTCTTCTTTTATTTTTTAATTTTTATTTAATTTTTGTGTAGTTGTAGATGGACAGCATGCCTTTACTTTTTTATTTTTATGTGGTGCTAAGGATCTAACCCAGTCCTCACACCTGCTAGGCAAATACTCTGCCACTGAGCTACTACCCCACCAGCCCTTTATTTTTTATTTTGAGACAGGGGCTTTCTAAGTTGCTGAGGCTGGCTTTGCACTTGTGATCCTCCTGCCTTAGCCTCCTGAGTTGCTGGGATCACAGGTGTGCGCTACCACTCCTGGCTTATTATTATTTTTTTTTTTAAAGAGAGAGAGAGAAAATTTTTTAATATTTATTTATTTATTTTAGTTTACGGCAGACACAACATCTTCGTTTGTATGTGGTGCTGAGGATCGAACCTGGGCCGCTCGCATGCCAGGCGAGCGCGCTACCACTTGAGCCACATCCCCAGCCCTCCTGACTTATTTTTTATTTTGATATAGAGGCTCACTGAATTGTAGAGGTTGGGCCTTGAACATGSAATCCTCCTGCCTCAGCCTCTTGAGTTGCTGGGATCAGAGGTGTATGTCACAGCACCTGGTGGAAATGATGTTCTTGAAACTCAGGTTTCTTTATTTAGTCCATCCATTTATGTTTTCGTCTATTTGTCTAGTATTTATTGAATATCTATCATGGACCAGATTTGTAGCAGGCAGCAGGACATAGAAGGGAACATACCAGCCGTGGTTAGCCAAACACACAAATACAAGTTCTCTCTCTCTCTCTCTCTTTCTCTCTCTCTCTCTCTCTCTCTCTCTCTCTCTCTCCAATATTGACAGACTGTGTTAAATACCCTGAAGAAAATAATAAGGATGTGTGACAGGGGGCAGGGGGTAGAGCTGAGGGCCACACTAGAGAACCATAGGCAGTGCTGGGCACTGAACATGAGACCCCTTCCTGAGCTACATCCCCAGGCCTTTCTTTTTCTTTCTTTTTTTTTTTTTTGGTGGGGTTACCATGGATTGAACTCAGGGACACTCAACCACTGAGCCTCATCCCCAGCCCTATTTTTGTATTTTATTTAGAGACAGAGTCTCACTGAGTTGCTTAGTGCCTTACCATTGCTGAAGCTGGCTTTGAACCTGTGATCCTCCTGTCTCAGCCTCCTGAGCCGCTGAGATCACAGGCTTGTACCACTGCACATGGCCCCTAGGTCTTTTTTAAATTTACTTTGAGACAGGGTCTCACTAAGTTGCCCAGGCTGGGCTTGAACTTGTGATTCTCCTGCCTCAGCTTCCTGAGTCCTTGGGATTACAGGTATGTGCCACTATGCCTGGCTGCATCAGACTTTCAAGTCCATATGGTAAAGGTCTAGAGCAGCTGGGGTCACTTTGGCCCATGCTGACAGATTCTAATTGGAACCTGTTCYTACAGATTTTATGACCAGGGGGAATTATCCTTATCTCCCTGAGTTCTGGGAACTGGATTGTTTGAGGGTCACAAAAGTCTCCCCAGCTGGCAGGGTAGCTTCTATTCTTATCAGTATTTGAGACCTGAGTTCCCTCTGCAGATAACAGGTTGCTGAGGAATGTAACATGTCCTATAAACTTCAGCCAGGTAGGGCTGCAGGCAAATTGCTTTTTTTTTGATACTGGGAATTGAAGCAGAGGTGACCCCTGAGCCATATTGTGGCCCTTTTTATTTTGAGACAGAGTCTCAATAAGTTGCTTAGGGCTTTGCTAAATTTCTGAGACTGGCCTCGAACTTGAGACCTTTCTGCCTCAACTGCCTGAGTCATTGGGATTGCAGGTGTGTGCCACTGCATCAGCAGCAAAGTGCTTTTTAAAAAGAAATCATGTGGGCGTCAGTGCAGTAGACCCAGTTACAGAATTATCCCCTCAACCCAATGTTCCCGATGCTCATGTTGTTGACCTCTCCCAAGAAGCTTTGTGTAGAGGGAGAGAAAAGGGGTGATAACAGAAGGGGAAGGTTGAGGTCCAGGGATTGCTTTTGCTTTTTTAAGGTGAGAGATATTGAAGACTGGTTAGATGGTGACAGGAACGATCTAAAAGGAAGGCTAAAGGAATGATTCTTTTGAGGGGTGAGAGGTGTTGGAATGATACCCTCTTACAGGCAGTAGTGCATGATGCCCAAGGGTAGGGGTTGGCACCAGATGGGTAGAACATTAAAAAATAAATTTTTTAGCTTCTGATGGACCTATATTTTATTTATTTATATGTGGTGCTGAGAATCGAACCCAGTGCTTCACACATGCTAGACAAGCAGTCCAACACTGAGCCACAACCCCAGCCCAAGTAAGGGCATTTTTTCAAAAGCAGCAGGAGAGACAATATGGGGATGTAGCTGTTGCTGGGTGGTCAGATGTGACTCAGGAGTGTCTGCTCTCAGAGAAAGAGCAATGGAATCAATAGTTTTGAGGGAGGTTTGGGGAGGAGGGGCTGGCACTCTGACCAGAGGTGTTAAATAGTCACTTAGGAGAGCATTTTAGGTTCAGGAGTATACCAGTCAAGGTTTAATCAGGAGACACTGTGCTACCAATGCTCCCCGACATGACACTTGCATTGGGGTCAGGTCCCAATAAATCTATAAACTGAAAATATCATAAGTCTAAGATGCATGTAATACATTAACCTACTGAGGACCCCAGCTTGCAACACAGCACATAGAGTATTGGTTACCCACCCTTCCAACTGACGCCACCCAGCATTGTTAGAGATGGTATCTCACTAACCCAGGGAACTATGGAAAGTCAAAAGTACAGTTTCTACTGAAAGCATATTGCTTTCCCACCATCTATAAACTCAAAAAATCTAAGTAGAACCATCTTAACTTGGTTTGTCTGTAGTTTTTAACATAATCAAAGAATTGTTTTTCTTTTTGGTAATGCTGGGGATGGAACCCAGGACCTTAAGAATGCTAGGTAAGCACTCTACCACTGAGCTACACCTCAACCCAAGGATGTTAACTAGGTCTGAAGACTTACTGCCTGGATGATTGAAGGGGTAAAATAAGAAAAGTAGCAACTGAAGAAAGGTGCTATCACTTCTTCCTGGAATGATGTTGCAGCTCTGGGGAGCTGAACCTCAGACATCTGAGGAGCAGGTGCTACACTGCTGGGACTCTGAGAAAAAAAATGAAACTGGTTCTCCACGTGCTGAAATAACTGCAAATTGTATTCCACTGATGCTTCTGGAATGTTCCAACGACCACTGCCGAGAGACAAGAATGGGAGACACCAATAGAACAAGCAGGAAGCAAATCCCCTATTATAGAGCCTGACTGGGGAGAGCTGCCAAAGCAGAAGTGTTTGCAGAACCCAGCCTCAGCACTGCAAAGTCAAGAATAGCAGGTGGCTTTGGAGCCCTGTCTACTGGCACCAGAAGTCAGTTGACCTAGACCAGTCAGTATGGAGTGGGTTTCTTCCAATAAGCCAGGATTGGGGTTTTGWTGGGTGAGTACACAAGCCAGGTGACAGGAGTGGACAGGGTATGCAACCCAATGATCACAATCCAGGATCCTGGAATGTAACTCTACAAGGACACAAAGGGTGAAAAGTGGATGAAGGCCCTGCTTTTCCACGTGTGATCAGTGGACCGGCAGCACCAGCATCCTCTGGAAGTTCCAGATATGCAGATCTCAGACCCCAGAAACCCACCGAATTGGAACTTCAGCCCTGGGTGGTCGTTTGTCAGAAGACTTCGCAACTGGGAAACTAGATGGCTAGGAGTGGTGGGTGACTGGAGGATGCAGGCTCGAATTTGAGACCATGGAGGGATCACACTGGAGACGAGCACTGGCTACACAAGGTGGGCCAGCGCGGGAGGGACGGTCCCCTGGCACGAGCTTCCAAGCTGGGCTTTTTAGACAGGACGAAGAAATAGTGTCCCGGGCATTAGGACTTCTGATCCCGTTTTCCCCGTGGCCAAAA